GCGGGATCGTGTGTCCTTCTGCGTGTCTGCGGCGCCGTGCGGTGGCTGCTGCGGGTCTCAGCCCTCCTCTCCTCCTGGAGGTGGAGCAGCCAAGATGGCGGCGCTTCGTGTTGCGGGCTGAAGCCTCCTCAGCATGCGGAGCGACGTGAGGGAGAGGATGCTGGTCGCCATCATGACCCCCGGAATTATTCCAAAATATCAACAACGTGCACTGGAAAAAGTGAACAGTTAATCCAACTTTTAAAAAATGGACTCATCAAGTTATGTTTATCCTAGTAAATATGCTAGTAAATAAAGAAAATAATGTAAATAAAGTTAGTTAATTCAATTATATGTGACCATTTTTTAAAGATGAGCTCAGATCTTTTTAAAAATATCTTTTACATCACTGTAGACCAATGTTCCCTCTAAACTGCGCGCCTGCGCAATCGCGCACTGCTCACATATTCTCAGCGCACAAGAAAATCTATGTAGCGCATAAAATAAAGTCCAACGTAAAGTGGACATTGAGCTCAGATATCAGTTTTGACTATGGACCAATAATTTTTTTTTCCGTACTACTTTGCGATCGAACTCAGTGAGTGACAGGAATCCAGCCAATGATACGATACGGTTCACTTTCGCTACGTGTGTGTACGTGGGTTACGTGCCTTGGTCATATGCGCCGTGCAGTTGATAATAGAGCGGTAGAGTTAAGAAACGTGAAATCCATCACCTTATCATGTCTACGTGGGACATCCACTCACCAAGCCAAAGTAAAAAAAGAAAGAAATGCACTTCTTCTAAGATCAAATGGAATCAAATCAAATGAAAGGAATGTTCTGCGTTTGATATTGAAATGTTGAGTTCAGACTTTTGACTATGGATAAGCAGACATTCGTACACTGGCAAAGAAGTATGAGGCCATTCTCCTCCACCCACAGATTATGGAGGCCAATAACAGTCAATATGCTGAATTCAAGTAGATAAAGCAAGAAGCAGACTGACCATCAACCTGGGCTAAGTGAACAACCACTGGAGAAGTGAGAAGAAGTGAGAAGCGAGAAGGGCAGACGTGAAAAAAAATAATTAAATATTTTACAAGAATTTATACTGCATCACAAGCTACAGAAAACATTGCATTGTGCAAAATGTGAATGTTTTAATATGAACAAACATTTATGTCTGAAAGGTGTAATGTCTCATTTCTCACCCTGGCTGAAGCAGGACTCTTACTTACAGCATGCATCTCATGAACAGCAATGTTTTCTTTTCTTTTTTTTATTTTAATTAAGCAAATCACTTAAATTAAAAGCAAACGAATGAAAATTGCTGATGTAATTTGATTTTTTAAATAAGCCATGCAACTTTCTATGATCCCAGATTTATGATACTGTGTGCATGGCCACGCCGTGTACACTGATGATGCTCACAGTGGTCCTCAGTGTGCCCAGGAAGCTTGTGTGTACGCCCAGACACATGAACAATTAGAGGGAACATTGCTGTAGACGAAGCTTGATCCATTCTTTTTTGCAGAATTTCTTTATTTTTGCCATATTTTAATTTTTTTTTAAAATAATGTGAATAGCCTGTTTAAGGTCTTGTCACATCATCTCAACCAGGTTTAAGTTCAGACTTTGACTAGACCAGATATCAGTGTCTTTTTCTGTCAGTGCAGCTATAAATAAATTAGCAAATTGTATGTGTCTGTACAAGACAGCTTATTATTATTATTTTGTATAACAGACATTAGCGATAACAAAGACATTTCTTGTTTTATTTGTGTCATTCTGATGTGAAAAGCTATCCAGATGCTCCATAACAACCTGCAGAAAAATGACTAAATCCAGATTTTTGTGTTTTTTTTCAAAGTTTTTTCTTTTATTGAGCCAATATGTCGATCAGGTGACACTGAACAAACTCAGCTGACCGAACCGTGAGCCCTGCAGCCCCTCAGCCTGCTGCAACACAATCGACTGCATAGAAACACTTGTGCGCTAAATAATTATGCTTAAAAAATGAATAAAACTTTATTTTCTAGCATACAAGTGATTCGGGAAGCAGACACAATCTGTTCCATAAAAATATGAACATAGACATTGGCTGTTTAATAAAATAACACACTCTGCATTTTTCTTCACAAACTAACATTTTGCTGTATAAACTGAAAAATGCACCTGAATGTCAACTAATCATAAAATGGAAGTGGAAATAGTTTACCACTAGAGGGCAGCAATGTAATTCAGTAGATAAAATATGACGCTAATCTGAAAGATTATTGCAAAAATGATCTAAATCTTAGAACTGAAGTCAGTTAATCTGTTCGCTGAATTCATTTTTCCTCAAATACCATTAAATTGGATCTTTATTCATCAAATAGTTTGCAAACTTCTGATAAAAATGTAAAATAAATGTTCATGGAGCATCTTCACTCAGCTGGTTTAATGTTTAAATATAAATAAATGTTATTTATTTTAAGTAAATATTCCGTGGTTCCAATTCATGTATATTATTATTAACTGATCATATATGTTTTTTAATGTTGAAAAATCATGTTAAGCAAACAAAGATATAAAGTTAGGTGCGAATTCTTGTATGTTTTATCAAAAAAAAAATTGAAAAAAATAAATTCCAAAACTATACAATAACACCTAAAACTAATATGTACTTAAACAATAGATAATGTATTAGTGTGTTAAAGTTAGGTACACATTTTAGTATTTTTTATTTGAAAAAGTAAAAAACAACACAATAACAGAATTTAATCAGAAGAGAAACTTTCCCAAATGTTAAAAAAAAAAATTTAACTTTATACTGCATTTAAAAGTTAGGAACAAATTCAGGTATTTTTTTTTATTTTGAAAAAATATGTTCTAAAACTACAAGAAACAAATTTTAAGCTGAAGATGAAAAAAAAAAAGTTGAAACAAAAACAAACCGAAAAAGCTGAAAATTTATAGAGTATGTAAAGTGTATTTTTGATAAAGTTAGATGCACGTTCTGGTTCATTCTTTCATTTTAAAATACATATAAAAATAAATTCCAAATCTACGAAATAACACATTTTAAGCATAAGAAACACTTTTGAAAAAATGATATATATTTAAACAGTATGTAATGTAAATGTGTTAAAGTTAGGTGCACATTCTAGTATTTTTTATTTTAAAAAGTTAAAAAAAATAAACATTTTTTTTTTCCCAAATAAAACTTTTGAAATTCATACAGGAGTTCAAGTATATGGGTGTCAAAACAGTTTATCCAGGGAAAATATGTAGCATTTCACACACACAGCAGGTCTGATGAATTAATCAAATCATTATATAAAACCTTTAATTAATGTAAGTCGGATTATCTTTGGAGGCCTTAAAGCGATCGTTGAGACTCTGACAGTGACCCGTTGAATCGTCTGTAGAGGAAAGAAGACGTTTCTCTCCATCTGAGGCTCAGCCGGCGTCGCCTGGTTTGCTGCTGTCGCCGTGACGCCTTGACCTTTGGAGCTGACGACCCCGCTCCCTCTGACATCTTCTCACGCTTCGCAGACACAAACAGAGCCGTAGATCACTTCTTCTGACCAGCAACACGCTGTGAAAACTCAAAGTAGCTGTGTTTCTACTGTAAATATCTTAATACTCATGAAAAAAGACAAAAAATAACTTACAAGTAACTTTTGAGCTGGAAATGGAAGATTGTTTTAAGTTACTCATTCCTTAATTTGAATGAAAACAGCAGTTGATCCACTGGAAGATTATTTCACTTATGATTTGAGGAAAATGTCTTTTTATAAGTGAAATGATCTGTCAGTGGATCTGCTGCCTTTCTGTATAAATATTAAGGAGCGATTGACTTAAAATAAGGCTCTATATCTTGCTGAAAAGTTGCTTTGTGTAATTTCAAGACAGTGTTTGTTTTATTGATTTAAAACAAGCTCTGACACTGCAAAAACACAAACTCTAAAACGTATTTTGTCTAGTTTAATTTAGCAAATATCTTAGATTTTTCTAATTTGAAGTGTACTGACTCACAAGTAACGTTTTAGTAAGATATACATGCTTGTTTTAAGTCAGTAATTTCTTAATATTTATGAACAAGAACTTGTTTTATTTGCAGATTATTTCGCTTATAACGAGACATTTTCCTCATAATGTAAGTGGGGAAAAATCTACCAATGTAACTAGTATTTTTTAATCAACAATAATCATATATTTAATTAAAAGAAGATCCTTATTAAATTATTTGTAAGTTAGTTTTAACTTATTTAAAAAGTAATAAGATATTTGCTCTGGGAACTAGAAATAGTTGGTAAGATTTTGTTTTTTTGCAGTGTATGAACTTGTTTTAAGTCAATAAAACAAAAACTAACTTTTCAATCAGGATCAGGAGTTTGATTTAAGTAATATTGGTTAAAAATACAATTTCAATTGGTAAATTATTTCACTCATAGCGAGACATTTTCCCAAGCTGTAGGTGAAATAATACTTGGTAATATTTAGAGTTTTTGCAGTGCATCTTTCACTGTCGCCCGCCTTCACACGTTACTGAACATCTATTTTATTTCTGGCCCTCCCTTTCTGCTGCCGGACACACTGGAAGCCTTTCTCCTCTTCATCCAGGAGTCAGGATGGGGAAAAGCTGCTCACTGTTGCCAGAAACCATCCCACAGACCCAGAGGGGAATGAATTTAACTCCAGGACAAAAGGCCTGGTTATATTTCACCGCGGGACGGTCTTTGTGCCTCTGAATCAGCTAACACTGAGGCTGTGTTTGCTGCTCGCTCAACCTGTCCGTCCGCTATAATCTGAGGAGCAGGTCTTATTTAGGGAGATGCAGCAAAGAGAAGTCTACCGGGAGATGCGAAAGGGGGGAGTGATTGATTTTCTGCAGGTTTACACGCAGGCTTTTCAGCTGAAAGAGAGCTCTATCCCTGCACATTTCTCACATCGGGGTTGTAAGGGGGCTGGATCTGCTGGGAAGGAAAAGGGTGGGGGGTGGCAGTGGTTAGAGGGGTCTTTTCAGCTCTTTCTGGAGGCAACAATAGTCTTTGTTCAAGGTCTTCCACCATTCTTATTAGGGCTACCAAGAGGAGGGAGGTGCGAGGAGAAGGGTGTTTCTCCATAGTAACAATGACAAAACAAGCCAGTTTAGAGGGAGACACTCCAACTCCAGCAGGAGAGCTGAAGAAGAAGGAGCAGGTCTCACTCTGCTGCGGAAAGTTTAGCAGAAGTTACCCAGGCATGGAGCGGGACAGCCACAGCGAGGACACGCTGTCCACCATGGTCCTGGAGAACGTCAAGAACAAACTGATCCACGCCTTCAGGGCGACCGCCGAGTCCAGAGCGGGTCAGAGGGAGGCCGGCGGCGGCGGCGGCATCGGGAGGAGCCAGCAGGCCAACGAGGAGCTGCGGCGGGCGCAGATAGATGGAGCTCTGACCTGGCTCCGATCCGAACTGGTGAGATTCAGCGCTTCTGTTTTCCAGCGTGCACGCTGGAAAACAGAAATGGTGCTTAAAATATCCCTTTGGGATCAATGAAGCATTTCTGATTTTCAATTTGAAAAGAAAAGAGTTAATTTGCTGCATGTAATCAAATTAAGTTTGTTAATCTTTCTTTAGTTACGTTTGTTTAACAGGACTAAAAAGTAGGAGTGCACTGATTTATGAGCACTGATTTGCTTCATTTTGAGAGATCGGTGATTGGCTGATACATTTATCCAATTCTGGCCCACCATAGCTTTTCATCTGGCCCTCTGGACTGCAGAGGGCTGCATAAATAAAACCTAAACACAATTATGACTAAAATATGTAGTCATAATTTCTGAATAATCAACAAGTTTATCAATATTCTGTACAATTTTAATTCACTTTATGTCACAAACATATAAAGAGTTTGATGTGTATTTAATATTTAATGGATTTCTTCATATAATTAACCAAAATAAATAACTTATTTTTTTTTACTAATTGTTTAATCAAAATGACAAGTAAGATATTTATTTATTGATGTTTTTTCATTTAAATATCCTTTATTTCTCTTGCCAAACAGAGCATTGATCTCATTAAGTTCTTTCACAGCCAAATAAAGGTTTGAAAACATGCATTTGTTTGATTCATGATGTGTGTTTCCAGTTTTATTTCAATGTATGCATTAATAAATCTTTACTTGGCCACTTATAAATACATCTAACAGTGCCTGCTCTGGGCCTGGATGCACTCTGACCTCTGCCTGTTGTTGTGCAGCTGGAGATGCGCTCGCAGGACGTGCAGCTGGCTCAGACGCTGCTGGGGCTCAACACAGAGATCCAAAGACTGAGGAGGGAGAGCTTTGGGGGGCTGGAGGTGCAAGGAGACGATCAGCAGTGAGACTGCTCCTGATCTGGGAAGGACTTAGAGCTGACCAAGGGAATCCGTGCAGCCAGAAGTAAAGAATCCGACACAACAGAGGGACACTGAATGCATCGTTTGAACAGAGCTGCTGCATGGACAGTAATGCAGGCAGACAGAATAACTGAGGCTGCGTTCACACTGCAGCCTGAAGCGACCCAATTCCCATTTTTTGTCAAGTCGGATTTTTTATTAATTTTTTTTGCCGTAAAATAAATGCGACCTGTTTGTGTTCTGCAGTCTGAACGGGAAAACGACCTGAAAGTGTAGTAGAGGGCGCAACAGCCGCGTTGTCAGTGTTCTGCCAGCCGCCATCAAAAAGTTAACATGGATGCTAACGGTGGAGCAAAGCTTACACATTTGAAGTTATTGTCCAGCCAGTAGCATATTAACAACCTAATCCTCATTATCCTCCATCATGGTTGTTTTTCTTCCCGTTTGCTCGTGTCAGGATCAGAATTCAGTCCAGATGAACGCCACCTGGACGTCAGGTCACATTTGAATCGGATGCGTATCGGATACCCATGGTGGTCGCAATTGAAAGCATCCGACCGTTCAGACTGTCACGAAAAGATCAGACACAGGTCACATCGAGGCAAAAATAAAGAATTGGTTCACTTCAGGCTGCAGTGTGAACGCAGCCCAAAAGACGCTTTGGTTCCTCTGATTCTGAACAGTAAAATGATAACGCATGTGAAGTTGAGGAACAATAAATAAATAAATAGTTAAAAATATTTGTCCCCGCAGCTTTATTGAGCCAACTTTCTGAATCGCAGGAGATTAAATTCATCCACACTTTTATAGACATATTCTGTTTATTCAGTCTCTTCTGCACCATCATTATTTTAATAGCAGTTTACAGAAACAAAATCATGCTACTGTCAAAGATTTCATCTTTTTCACATTTCGTCACCTAAGTAGAAAGTAGATGTAAATTATCGAGATGTTCTGAGATAAAATAGAAGAAAAATAATCTATATTTATAAAACAGACTCCTGAAGATGTGAAACTTTAACTTGAAATCCAGTGCGATCGTCTCAAGAAGCTTCCTTATTAGTAAACATAGTCTAGTTGTGTGTATTTTAGAATCAAATGCCTGACCCTCAGCATGACGCTGCCACCAAAAGTTTTATTTCACCAAAAATATGGTGAATTAAAACCTACAAAAAATCTAAACTTTTTGAAAAAGGTGCTACAATTTCAGCAATTTTACGCTCATGTTTAGAAAATTAAGGCACAGAGCTTCTCCTCTGGATCATTTTTTCAGCTGAACGAAAGGTTTGATGAATCTTCTGACAGAGATTGTTGGTGAATAAGTTTCTGCTTCCTCCGTTGCCCTCAGAGCCCCAGTAGCTGCCCCCTCCTTCCGCGTCCTCCTCTTCCTCCTCGGACAGCTCCTGCTTCAGCTCCTGGATGCCAGAGTGAAGATCCATAAGCTGCCGGATCAGAGCTTGGTCCTGCGAACGCATCTCCATCTGAACATAAAACACACATTTAGATCAGACTTGAAAACCTGGGATCTGAACTTCCCAATCAAACTCACCATTTCCTTCCTGCACTATTCCGCTCTGATAAAATAAAATGGCAGCTTTCTCCCATTCACTGGAATTCCTTCCGGTGGAATTTCAAGCCGGCCAATCAGCCAAGAGAAGAATTCGTGAACCATGACGTCAATTTTTTGCGCTGTTTTAGAAATTAAGTCTTAGCAATAACAGCGGAGGAAGTGAATCAACGTTGGCCTCTTATTATTAAAATATAAACAGCCATTGTGCTCGGATTGGCATTTCTCTTCTCACAGTGGAGGATGGTCGATTTCTATGGAGCTAAATTGGAGCCATAAAGTTGTTCCAAAAGAAAATAAAATTCATAATGAAAGAAAAAAAAAGATTTGAAAGTGGCAAAAAGTTTCGAAACTTGAAAAACAGGTTGCAAAACTGAAGAAAATGTTCAAAACTAGTAACAGATTTTCTTTAGATTCAAAACGTTGCAGTTTCAAAACAATTTTTTAATATTATTTACATATTTCAAAAGATTTTTGTTTTTTTTTTTAAACATTTTTTCGGTTTCAAGACAATTTTCAGTTTCAAACTTTTTTTTGTCACTTTCAAAATTATTTTTCAGTTTCAGATGTTTCTTGTTCAGTTTCAAACTGTTTTTATGTTTCAAAACCTTTTGGGAGACTTCAAACTTTTGTCAGTTTCAAAACTTTTATTCAGTTTCAAACTTTGCTATAGTTCAAAACTTTTATTCAGTTTCAAACTTTGCTATAGTTCAAAACTTTTATTCAATTTCAAACTTTGCTATAGTTCAAAACTTTTTATTTTCAAACTTTATTCAGTTTCAAACATTTTTCAGTTTCAAAATAACGTTTTCATTTAAAAAATTTTTTCAGTTTAAATTTTCTTTTCTTTTTGAACAAACTTCATGGCCCCAATTTAACTCCATAGCTTGTGGTGTAGGCTGTTTCTGGTCAGCTTCATTGCGTTGGAATGGTGCATTACATACATCATGGACAAACGGTTTTTACTAGGCTTCGATGAAAACGTTTTTGTTTTTCATTGGTGGATTTTCTGTGCAAACTGCAGCGTTTGAACCACCTCTCCTTTCAAATGTAAATTTAATTTCTTCATCTAATTACATCCACTGTAACATGCGATTTCCCGAGCTTCACCAAATGAAAGTTTGCTTTCAAGGATTCAGGAATGTCTTGAACAAAAAACCCCGGCGTTTCTTTTCTGTGTTAATTACGGCTCCAGTCGGAGAGTCCGCGCTCCGGCTGAAAGATGCCGGTCTTTTTGCCTTTGTCAGAAACTCAACGACTCACAGATGAAACATGAACTTTCCTAGTGGAGACGGGGCCTGCTGGGCTCCAACTCATTATGCCAAACGCTGGTCCCTTCCACACTGGACATTGTCACTGTGTGTGTGTGTGTGTGTGTGTGTGTGTGTGTTGTGTGTGTGTGTGTGTGTGTGTGTGTGTGTGCGTGCGTGCGTGTGTGTGTGTGTGTATGTGTGTGTGTGTGTGTGTGTGTGAGATAGAGAAAGAGCTGCTGAGCAAAAAGACTCAATCGAAAGGCTTTTTTGTTTGTGCCAAAGTCCTTTCATTTGCGAGGAAAATGAAGATATTAGCATTTAAGCCGGATTTATGGTTCAGACGTGCTGCAGGGATAAAATGTTCTTGTTCCTTAGAGGCTAAAATGTAATTTGATCTGAATAATTTTGCTTTATTTGTCTCACCTGTAATGTCTTTTTTTTTCAGCCAAAATTTGGCTGCCATTAACTTGTGTTAATGGCAGAATTGGGTAAGTAAAGTATTTTAACTATTACTTTTACTTAAGTAATTGTATTATTATGTACTTGTACTTGAATGAAATTTCTGGATCCTGATTGAAAAACGAACATGTTTTAACCAAAAATAGACCAGACACAGAGACACGCCTGCAGGTCTTGTTAAAGTTTCATAAGTTTTGTAACTACAGCTGTGTAAACCTTTGGTTAAAACATGTTTGTTTATTCAGGATCCAGAAATTTTACTCAAGTGCAATACTTAATAATACAATTACTCACGTAAAAAGTATTTGGTAAAGTCTACTCATGCCCTGGTTAACTGATGAAATAAGAAAGTTGCTGAATATTTAAAAATTACATCGTCAGACGGAACAAGATGTAGAGTTAAAGAGGAAATTTGGATGAAAATAATAATTTATATCAGTAACAAAAAATAACAAAATCTGGCAAAAGAAAAATTTTCCAAATCTTTTATTTTCTTTTCAATAAAAACTTATGAAACTTTAGCAAAAACTGCAGGTTTTAAATTTAAAATTTTTGACTAAAATACATTTTTTATTTATTCAGTGGGTAGAAAATCCTGGTATTTTACTCAAGTAAGAGTAGCAATACTCCACATTAAAGTTACTCATATAAAATAAGCATAGTAAAAAAAAAAACTCCTAAAAGTACATTATTCCAAAAAAAGTAACTTCAAACTCAAACCAACATTTTAATGTTGGCAAAATAATGTTTCAATTGTTGGTGATGACTTTGTATTTTTGTGTTTTTATGACCCAAAGCACTTTGGACTTCCTTGTTGCTGAAACGTGCTATCCAGTTGAACTCGATTGATCGATTGGATTAAATGTAATCGAGTAAATGTAACGCGTTACTGCCCAGCTCCGGTCTTACCAGCTGCGCCTGCAGCCAGGCCAGTGCGCTCCCAATGTCCCACCGGCCGCCGTCTCTTCCGGCCGTGTGCGCCTCTCTCAGCGGGGCGAAGTGGCGCAGAAAGGTTGAGGTGCGGCAGGAGAAATCCCGCAGTCTGGTCAGAACCACGTCCATCACGCCGGTCCGGTGAAACCCTCAGCCGGTTTATGAGGAAATCTCTTTCCCTCTCTCCCAAACGAGATCCCTGCGTCTCTTTTTAGCTAAAGAGAAAGCGCTAAATGTCGTCACCTAACTGACGTCGGTTTCATTGTTCGGTTTTTATCGGATCCGCTCGTTCTGTGACGATTAATCATAGCGGGGACGACGGGCCTTGTGTATCCATCCGGGACAGATGAAGGGCTTCTTCATTTGGCTCTCTTGTTTTTGTGAGGTAAATGTGAAGCAGCCGTGTGTGACTAACTGTTCCCATGGCACCGGGGCAACCCAGACCCAGATCCGGACGCTTTGGCGACCGAACCGGACCGAAATAAGCGACAGAAGCTATTTTTAGACTTTTAGAGATGCAGAAAAGAGCAACTGAGCCAACTTTCAAATGGAATAAAAAAAGACTAATTGTGTTAATGTGCCATGGTGTTAAAAAGGATGAGGATTTGTGACGTACGGTGACGTATTAGGGTCATTATCTACGCCAACATATATTGCCTTCAAAACAACCTAGAAATTTTTAGGTTAATATCAGAAAGTTTCTGGAAACAAACGGAAATTTCTGAACTCCGAAAGACAAGAATTTGTGAAGACAAAAATAAAAAAAAACTCAAAAACTTTGAGATTAGTTTCTAAACAAAGATGGAGATTTCTATCTACAAACTCAACATTTGCAGAAAAAAAAAAAACGATTTTTCGAGATTATTTTGAGAAAGTTTTGACATTTCTGAGATCTGGAAGTTGGAAACTTGTCAGAAAAAAAGCCAACACATTTTCTGGAAAAATCCTAGAAATTTCTAAGCCCCAAAGGTTAAAAATTGAGACAGAAACTCTGAAATTTTGCAGCAAAAAAGAATTTTTGAGCTCCAAATGTTGAAAATTTGCAAGAAAAAAACCCATAGAAATTTGTAGATGAATTTCAGAAATTTGTAGCAAGCATTTCTAAAATCAAATTTGTTTTAGTCTGATCATGTTATTAACTGCAATTTTATCAGAACAAGATGATTATGTTTCAGATTTTCTTCTATTATTATTTTCTGTGTTTTCATATTTCAGTTTGTTTATGCCGAATAAACACTTCCTCACTGAGGGGACAATAAATAACATTTATTTTGAAAACATTAAATCTTAAAGATTTCCTTTAGAATAGGACTCCGTGTCGCCCCCTTGTGGTTCAGATGAGAGGCGGCTTTTTGACGAAGAAACCAAGGAAAATAAAATATTAAATTACAGCTGTTATCAGACTTAACAATAAAGACTATTTGCCCTTTGACCAAACTTTATTTTTAAACAATTTAGAATATTTTGATATTTATGCTGAAACGTCGTAAGTTATTTCCAGTGTGTAAATCTGAGAGAACCTAGTTGAAATAGTTGTTCCTATTTCTATTATCTTCTGTTCTATTGTCAGAATAGACAAATAAGTAAATAGATTTGTGGTTTGTGGTGAAATTAAATCAATTATTCTGGGCCCCTGCTGGCTTGGAGACTCAGCAGTTGCTTTGTTTTGGCTGAGTGTTCCAACATCCGGGTCACCAGGAGTCAATAAATCAATCAGTCAATCAATCAAAGTCTCAGTTCCAGCTGATCAAAACCTAAATGTTCGTTTGAGAATCAGATTTAATCATCTTGTTCTGATAACATCCCATGTTTATATTTCACATTTTTGTTTATTATTTATAATTCTGCTGATTGATGATGCGAAAACAATAGAAAATCTCAACTAAAACCCGAGCGACAGCAAAGCTGTTTTTACAGAACGATGCCCAGGCCTTGCAGCCGCAGAGTTAATCTGGAATAAATTTGGCTGCGGTGTGGGGATCCACGCATGATGAACCATGTGATTCCGCACGAGGAATCCGCGGCACACGGCACTTCCAGCGGGTTGCGTAACCCCCAGAGTGCGGGGCGCTGCGTGAAGCGGCCCGTCTGGGTCGCTGCTGCAATCACCAGTTTCTCCACTTTAAGAAAGAGTCGACTCGGTTGCACAAGCGTTTCCCCTGGTCGTTTTTGTTGCAATAAGCTTTCAACTTCTGCATCCTCCCACCGTGCAGACGTCGCCTCTTCACCCGGCGTTCTCCCTCTTCAGACGAGTTGCAATTTGCACACGGCTGCGTTGCTTATTTGCACTAATTATAATGTAGAATGGGTGCAAATGTTTGCAATCGGAGTTTCAGCCAGACGGGTGCGGATTTGGATCTGTGAAAGTTTGTGTCAGGACATTTGAGTTTTTCCCTCCAGTGATGTTCAAAAGCAAGGATCCAGAGAAACGGCACATCTTGGCAGGACAGAGCAAAGCGCACAGCCTCCAGGGAAGGTCAGGCAAACTTTTATAATGAATGTCGGTGATTTCTAAAAAGGAAAAAGCCGAAAAAAGAGGCGATTTCTGACTTTTTTTTTTCGTAACTGTGATTTTGAGTTTTCCTCACGGGTCTGATGTGGGATCTGTGCGCAAAGCTGCATCTAATTATCTTGTTGATCAACCGATTTATTTGATCGTTTTTGATTAGGAGAAATGACTATCGTTTGGATTTGAGGGCTGTGATGTTGAGTTACATAATTGGTCCTTTAAAATTGTCTCAAACTCATAAAACTGTAATTAAGTCAATCTAATAAGCCTAAGTATGGATACTGAATACAGTAACGCTTTAAAATTTCTCAAAAATAAAAACGCAATAACCAGATTTGGTAATATTACTCACCCTCTGACACATACTTGGCTTAAACACCATCAGGTGAAGTCATTTTATTAATATAGCACATTTTCAGTGGAAAGGCAACTCAAAGTGCTTTATGTGAGTTAGAGGAAGTAAAAATAGAATCAAGAGAAAAATAAAAGTTGAAAAGGTTTACAAAGAGGTAAAAGTATAGACCACTTTCTGCAAAGGTGTTGGTTGAGCAGGAGGCTCTGCTAATGCTTTTCAAAGATATTTTATTGTATCACAGTACATCTGTTTGCAGCCATTTTCCTGAGTAAAGGTTGACTTTACTCGCATGATGGTTGTAAGTAAACTCAATTTCAGTCACAGTAGCAGATGATTTGGATTTAAAGTGAACATGTGATTATAAACATTTTCAACTTGTCAAACTAGCTGTTGATGTGTATAAAAATATATTTTGCATGAGGAGCCAACCTTGTTTCATCAGTGTGGCAGAGAGGTGGCTGCAGGTTCAGAATCATTTCCATCACCAGCTGGACTTTCTCTGGACATCTGGGGTTGTTTTAATGAAATCGTCTCCATCTCTGTTTCATGAGGATGAATTTATCTCAAACCTCCTAACTTTCTGCAATACTGCATAGTATTCTGATTTAAATCTTTTTTGCTATACACAGTGTGCCAAACCATGAAGAACTGCAGAATGATGGGACTTTCAAGCATTGCCACGATAACAGCTTCGCTCAGCAGGACCGAGAGACGGAGAAAAAAGTTGCCAGGAGGAGGTTGTACGTGGTTTCCATCGTCTGTCTGTTCTTCATGATCGGCGAGATTGCTGGTTGGTCTTTTTTTTTAAATCCCTTTTCTTGCTGTATTAGTTTCATTCTAAATCTTTCTCAGCATTCTTTGACAATGCCGGTTAATTTTGACCATTAGCTTTCGTCCTTTAATTCTTTTTAACTCTGTTCTCATTTTCTTTATTCAACTTTTCATTACATTTCCACTTTTTGTCTTTTCTCTTTGCTTTTCTTGCATTCTTCAAAATACTCAATTACCACATGTAAAAGAGGTAAAGTGCAACTGAAAGCATTAGCGTTGCAAAATATTGACGCTACTGCAGACAGACCCTTAGTAATTGTTGAAATCATTCCTCTTTGCAGGAGGATATGTGGCAGGAAGCCTCGCGGTGATGACGGATGCGGCTCACCTTCTGACTGACCTGGCCAGCTTCATCATTAGCTTGTTTTCCCTCTGGCTTTCCTCTAAACCTGCCACTCAGAGGCTCAGCTTCGGCTGGCATCGTGCAGGTACCGAGTCACAGGCCGGGTCCAATGACATCTGTTGGCAAATGTTCCCTTTCCAACAACATTTAGTTTGAAATTCTTAGTACAACAACACAACACGCAATCTTTGCTCATATGGAAACACAATTTTGTGACTCGCATTTATTTAATTACCTACATGCTAACAATAGACCTTGCTGGTTGCATGACTACTATAGTATTTATTGGCTAGCCAGCAGCTATTTTGCTAGCTAGCAGTCACTACTAGCTAGCTAGCCTGCAGTAGGGTGATTGCGATAGTAGCTACCTCAGCTAACTTCTTGTCCAGGTTCCTTTTTAAGGACACACAAAGCAGTAACATGACCATGCAGCACTAATGAAGCAGTGCCACAAATCTTTTTTTCTTTTTTACTTATTTTCATTAGTCAGCTTGCTGCTGCTTCTTTAACATTTTATTGGCAGTTTTCACTCATTATGCTTTACTGCCACTAACTCGTTATTATCAGCTAGCTAGTTTATAACCATGAAGTTAATTAACTAGATGCAGCCAACAAGCTAACTTTCCATCCACCCTCAGAAGACATGTAGAAAAACATTTATACACCTGGAATAAAAGTAAACTCCATACAGAAAGAGCTTGAGGGATTCATAACCAGGACCTAATTAATGCAGCGCAAGAGTACAAACAACTACAGCAATAAAGAAGCTAGCATTTAGCAAATTAATAATCTATCTTGATTCTTAGTTAACAAGCATCTGACTAGAAAAAAAATAAAGATTTGTTTCGTTGTCCATGCAGAAATCTTGGGTGCTCTGCTGTCCGTTTTCACCATCTGGGTCGTCACAGGAGTTCTGGTTTATCTTGCTGTGGAGCGCATCATCAATGATGACTACAAGATCGAGGGCCGTGTGATGCTCATAACCTCAGGCTGTGCAGTGGTGGCCAACATTATGTGAGTAAAATGGAGGAATATTACTTTTTATGCTAAAGTATTCAATAACTGTTCTTTAAAAGGGTGAAGAACGGCGTTTCTTAAAGCGCTGATTGAAATTGGTCCTTATTTTCCAACAGAATGGCTTTGACCCTTCACCAGTCGGGTCACGGCCACAGTCACGGTGGACTCGCCTCACACGGACACAGTCACACTCCCAAGAGAGGAAAAGAAAAGACTCAGACCCCAAACAACATCTTCTCAAATGAGTGCATAGACATGGAAGAAAACGGTGCAAGAAACGGTATGATTGAACAACACTAACGTCATTGAGACACTAAATGGCGTAATGTGATGTGGATGTTTGTTATTTTTATAGCGTTAGGAAAGAGGGCTCAGCAGGCGAATGCAAGTGTGCGAGCAGCTTTTGTGCACGTGATGGGAGACCTTCTCCAAAGTGTTAGCGTGCTCGTCAGTGCCATCATCATCTTCTTCAAGGTATCTTATTTTGGATTTGGGGGTTTTCTGCAGATGGCTGTTACACAGTGGTAGAAATTGCAAATGGATATTTAAAGTGTCTGAAATATAGAAATATGCAAGTTTCCCCTCATCTCAAGTCTTATTAAAAAGAGATGTTTTTCCTGTTTTATTGTGAAACTACTATTGTGGAAAAAAAACAATATCTAATCTGTAGTAACAGATCAGGCTTGAGACTCTGGCAAATGGCAAAGTCAAAATCTTTATTTCAGTCGTTTGCAAACGGAGAACACACAGTAACCACAGCACAACAGCTGTACCTACAATGAGTTCTGATTTGGAGCTGCAAGCTCTCACTATATATAGGACTCTCTACACAATGTGGTCACTCCCTGGCCCAGCGCCAGTCGAACAGGTTAATGCACAGTCACTCTTAACAGGGTGTAGAGAGAATGCAACATCCATTCTTAGGGTAAGTTAATTGTTCAGATGATAAACATCTTTGTTCAAAAATAGGTGCATTTCCAAAAATCAGGTTTACTAATGGAACAATTTTGCATAACAAGAACATTATCAGACTTTGTACGTTCACTCAGCACGTAGCCTTAGCTTGTGACATTTTAATGGAGGAATTTGTTAAGCCTTGGGGTTTATTCCATCTCACTACAATTACCTAACCTGTTATCTGTTAACACTGACGCCTGATTTTAGTTACTGACAACCTTCTGAAACTTTTCCAAAGAGAGGTCAAAAGGAAACCTATCTAACTGAGTCTTTAAAGACTCCTTGACCTACACGTTTTAACAGACTGAACAATACTAGTGTTAAATAACTAAAGAATTAAAATTAAATTCTTAAAAAAAATAATAACATAATTTTTACTTCACACTATATCTTTGAAAACTACTTGAATGATCTCAATAGTTTTCATAAAGTTTTTATTTAAACTCAATGATGATCTTGAACAGGTAGGTGTTTTCACACCCGATAGTTCGGCTGATGATTCGCTTTCACACGACACTGTTCACCTGTGGTGAAACGACACCAAAAACCACAGAAGAAGACACAAAAGATGGAGTAGCGTCAGCGGCTGTTGGATTTCTCTTTTGCGTTTGGTAAACGATTCGGTTTCTTCCGCCAGTTTTAGATTCTAGCGTGTGCGTTACCTAGCAACTCGCACAGTCTCTGGTTGCATAGCAACAACAACCTGCAGAGTAACTGTCACAGCAGAAGTTGTAGCATGCCCTAAAAAGGCCGTGATCCACTTCCTGCTTTTGGAGTGGTCTCCAGTCCAAAACAAAAGGTTTTTCTTTGCAGCTACCCTTTTAAGGATTTCACCAAGATGATTTGCTTGTCTGCTTAAAAGAGAGACCTCATTTATTAATAAAAAAAAATAAATAAATAAAACATAGCATTTCATTACTTGGCTATTTATTTTATGCATTTTGATTTTCTTTCTTCCAGCCCGAATATAAAATTGCAGATCCGATCTGCACCTTCTTGTTCTCCATTCTGGTCCTCTGCACCACCTTCACCATCATGAGGGACATCCTTCTCGTTCTAATGGAGGGTAAGGCCATCACTACCCCTTTGGTATATATTATCATAGATTTAGATAACTTTCTCTCAGTTTCGCCTTTGTTGTGTCGCAGGTACGCCATCGGGGGTGAGGTACAGTGAGGTGCGAGACCATTTGTTAGCTGTAAACGGAGTCAAAGCAGTTCACAACCTTCACATCTGGGCACTCACCATGAATCAGGCAGTTCTCTCTGCACACATAGCAATAGGTGAGAAGAGTCGGTCATTTATTTCCCAGCCTGTTTTGTGTTTTGTCCAAACCTGCATGTGTAAATTTGCCTTTGATTTAACATTGTGGTGAAAAACAATACATAATAATAACATAGCTGGAGATTAAATCAATAACATATGTCAGATTAGAATTGGCATCAGTATTGATAGATGATGCATCTGATAAAATATTCAATAATTTCGCTGAACCGCAGTGCATTCTGGGAGCTATAAGCAGAAGAAAGGCTTTAGCAACTCAAACTTGCTGAGGAACAGTTTGTTTAAACAACAAAAAAATGAATAAATAATCAATATTGACTGATAAGAAACAATTATATTGTGAAACCAAATTTTTTATTTCTTTTAGCCATATCGTCCAGTCCTACGTATTAAAAAGGCCACCTTGTCACATTTTTGCATTTTCGAACTAAAATATGCCTTTGACATAAAATTTAAAAATGTGCTTATCGTAACAAAGTCTCGGCTTCATTGGTCTCCTCCCAGCATTTCGGTGACACACAGAATAAGTGACTCTTGTGGTGTTTTTCTGCTTCTCCAGACGACTCGGTTGAGGCCCAGACCGTCCTGAGTGAAATGACCCAGGCGTGTTTCTCCTCCTATAACTTCCACTCCATCACCATTCAAATGGAGCGGCAGGCCGACCTGAAGCCTGGGTGTATGCTGTGTGAAAACCCAAAAAACTAGGAACCCATAGCAACTAGGACGGCGTTCTTTTACTGTCTCAGATAAACTGGCGTTACTGTTTTCTACGTGCACTTTGTACCAATTCCTATAATTGTGGGTATTTAATGACGATGAGGATGGCACAAACTGTAAAAGAAACAATAGTTTGACTTATTGCAAAAGAAAAATTATATTAAAATCTCATTTGTTTTCTGCTTCCTGAATTTTAATTTGAGTGTCTTTTATAGCTTACTGATACTTAAAAATGTTTTGAGTCAAGGTGCTGAGTACAAATGAACACAATACTTTTGGAAGACACGGTATGCGCTCGCATAATCATCATAGTTTTGGGCCAAATCAATATATTTAATGCTCTTAAAGGGCCAGAATGTATTGATAAAACTTGTTCACACACTGTTAAAGTATCAATGAATTGATAATATTGAACATCTATTAAGTCCCGTCAGAATTTCAGGAAACGTTTAGATTTTTTATTTTATTTTTTTTGCAATAAAATTTAAAGTGTTTATGGTACTAATTTAGAAATATTTGGACATTAGTGCTTATTTATGTTGGTAGATGCAACTTTTTATTACTCGCTTTAAAGATTATGGTCTATAATATGACATAAATTAAAACTGAAGCAGGTGGTTAGTACAAGTAAGAAAGTCTGACAATTTTTGAGAAAAATTTGCAAATAGCTCCCAATTATTAGTGCAAAAAAATTGGGGGATTTGTTGATTTTGTGTGAATTTCCACGATAATTCACGAGAAACTGGAGGGACTGATTGATATAATTTGGCAGTAAACGGACAAAAGCTCAATTGATTTGATTCATGAAGTAATATTAAAACACATTTAATATTTAATCTAGGTTTTTCAGGGCCACATAAATCGCTACGACAGGCCAGATTTGGCCCACGGGTCTTTGTTTTAAGACCATTTGTCTTAAAACAAATGGTTTTAAGACTGTTGAAAAACCAAATGACTTTAAACATTTGGTTTAAAGAGAAAATATTTTTTTAACATTTGTAAAACTTAAACTACAAAAATTCTTTAAATGTTTTATTCGATCCACTCAGTCAACACTGAAATTCAGATTTATTGTTCATCATGCCATCTAAATATGAGGAAAACTAAAATTATTGCAGCATAAAATTGAAATATTAAAGTGATTCTAACAGTTTAAGTACAGTAAATGCCCCTTTGCATCATTTCACTGCTCATTAAATGAATATTTAGCTCTAATCTCGGCTCTTTCAAGTGAATTTGCTTTGAAGAGCTGAGTGGACTTTGGATGCAGCTGCCCTCAAAGTAAGTCACTGCTCTCTTCATTCCAGCATATTTCCCTGGAGGATCCGCATATTTAATTAAAGCATGAGCAATGCATAAGAGAGTGCAAAGATAATCCCTTTTAGTGCTGATACCCCTTAAGCTAATAATTACTACTCCATTTATTTGAAAGTGATGACCAGTAAAGCAAATTTCCAGGTTATTTTTGACTTTAAAATAGTCTGTTTCCTGTTTTTATTATTCTATCTGGATATATTGTAGGTGTTCAGACTGCAGCACCGCTGACGCTGTTCAGTGAAGCTCTTTCCAGTTTTATCTGTTTTGAAGCTGAAGGTAAAAGTAGCTGCTTTCTTTCATGCGCAGTATCTGTCTGAGGTGTGCAGAGGTGATAAGATTTTTGCCACTGCGATAGATGAAGATCTTTGATGCTCATTTTTTCCTCATTGAGGTTTGACCCCAGCAACATATCAAAAATCTACCAATTTACCATCAGCCTGCAGGGAGTTGATCTTTTTGCTTTGCAGTGATAAATCGCTCAGGAAGGAAAGAAAAACATGTATTTTTCTTCAAGTCAAACCTCAATTGCTTTTTTTCATTAAGACATGGCAACACAAGCAAATTTTTATTTTTACACCTTTTTTTTAACAAAGTAAAAGCTGATTTCTTGGAAAAAAAGCAGTTCAGGTTTTGATGACAAACTCTTGCCAAATGACAGATTTTATAGGGTGAACTTTAAATTAATAATAGAAATTCTGCAACAGGATACTTTTCAAGCCATAAGACAGATCTTTCTCTTTTTAAATAAAAATCTTATACAGAAAGAGACAATTTCTGACAGTAATTTCAAATCTTTACAAATAAAGACTGAAGCACATTTAACATAGAGCTAGTCATAGCAGATATTCATAGACTGAATAAGTTTGGAGCATTCTGCTGTACTTTGCTAAATTACTCCAGATCTTAGTCAGCAAACCTCAATTACTTTGTCATTTTGGCAACTATAAATCACAAGTGGAGTTCCTCAAGGCTCTGTTTCATATAATGAAATATGATTAATTTATTTGGCTATACAAAGAATATTTTCAGCAGAAAAGTTTCAGTTCCTCTACTGAATAATGAAAAACGACAAGTTGACCCTCGCAATATGGCGGCGTCGCAGACATGGAAAAGTGAATCTGGTGCCAAGTTGTCGAGCATGTGTGGCGATTAATGTTATATAAATGACATACCAGCTGGGGGCGCTGCTTCTCTGTTTAATAGACACGTCAAGATTAACTGAAGCAAATGTGCAGTGCGCAATGCTTTTTCAACAAGACATTTCTCTCATACAGGGAAAAACTGTGGAATCTATCATCATTATTAGAGAATAATACTGTATATGATAACTAAATCTAGAAAAAATAACCAGAAAGAAAATGAAGAAAGAGATCAAGAAGAAGAAGGAAAACAGCGGCGCACCTATTATGGAATTTACTGCGTGATTTCTGGAACGACGTATTCTCGCGATACTAAGATACAGTTAGCAGCAGCTGTGCCCAAGAGAAGCTTGTTTGCTGTTGCAGGGCTTAAAATGTCAACGAAAGAGAAAAATTACCATCTCAAAGGTAACATGACCTGTCGTTTAATTAGCTGATAAAATCAATATTCAGTACAATGCTGCGTTTATGGTCACAGTAAAGAAAACAAAGATGAAGTTGTATGGTTTGAGTTAGCTTAAGCAACAATTTCTTTCCGTTACTTATTTTGACAAGGGGCTGTTGAAAGTCCACAAAAGCATTTTAAAGCTATTAACTAACGTAAAACTTGTTTAACATGTAATGTCTGACTCGTACTGTAACGATCAGTGTGTGTAACGTCTGTTAAACTTGTAGAGTTGCTTGTATTTTAATCATAGTGATGTGAAATATTCTCTGTTTCCCATTAAACCAGTAACATGGATTCAGTTTTTCTTTTATTGAAGGAATGTAAAGGTGTGCTGATGTAGATCAGCCTTCAAGGAGACTCCACCCGGACCCACACTTGCTGCTCCTCCTTCAGCATCCTGACCTGCCGTCTCCATGACAACCCCTCCTCTAGTGCCTCCTTTCGTTGGTCAGCCTCCTCCACCCCAGCAGCAGCTGCAGCAGCAGCAGCAGCAGCAGCAGCTGCAGCAGCTGCAGCAGCAGCAGAGCCAGGCTGCCAGAGATGTCAACACTTCCTCACTGTGTCGCATCGGCCAGGAGACCGTCCAAGACATCGTCCTCAGGACGATGGAGATCTTTCAGCTTCTCAGGAACATGCAGGTCTGTTTCTACCTGATCATGAGTCACTCTTTTTTTTTCTAATTTGCTTTCAAGGATTCAGAGCTTCTATAAGTTAGTAGAGATGTTATTTTGAACTTTAGTCCATGTACGTCACTATGACATGAAATTGTGCAACATATGTAAAAACTTTATGGATTAGATGTTCTGTAAAATTTGTCCAGTGTTTCTGCCTAAATAAAAGCACATTTCACTCTGACAAATGATGACAACTTGGCTTAGTGCGACCCCAAAATGAATGTGCTTTTTTTAAATACAGGAATAAAGCAGAACTTGTGATAAATTAGTCACCTTTGGTACATTAGAAGATCCCTAGTTTAAAATATTTTAAGTATCTTCCACTTTATCATCATGGAGATAATGGAGTTACATGAAAAACTTAGAGAAAAAAAATGCTGTTATTTGAAAGTTCTGTTCGTCCAACCATCACTGTTCCTGGACTTATAATATGTAATTATCACACAGGCCTGACGTATCCGCCACGGTTTATTTGTATATGTTTAGGCATTCAAAAAGCCAATTCATTTGACACAACAATAATAGTAATAATCACTACTCTGGCATAATTACTAAATGTTACTGTTATTTGTACTTCACAAGGTTCTGATGCTGATGGTTGTGATCAGGAAGATTCTCCTGTAGCGGTCTCTGTTACAACAGCTCTAGAGAAGCCTCTGACTGAAGACATGGTTGTTCTAACGCAGACTCATGAAGCATACGCTTCATAAAATCAAATTTTTATGAAGAATCTCTTTTCACCAACTCCAGATCTTCCAAAGATGTCCCAGAACAGATCAGGTTCTGTGTAACATCTGGTCGTAAACACTGAAGGATCAAAGAAACTTTCAGCTTTGCCTCCTCTGTCCCTTCAATTCAGCCGTTTTACAGGTGAACACCAACATATTCATTCTCCTCAACCACCACCACTTCTTCGCCCATGAAGATGGAGCTGAAAACAGTTTTAATTATAATATCAAAACAATTAGAGGGGCTCTGAAGAATAAATTACGTCTTTACAGAATTTATTTCTTGACGTTTTTTGCTAACGGCTTATTTTCTTTACAGTTGGAAATAGGTAGAGTAGCTACTCAAGTAAGAGTAGCACTACTTGAACTTCTTTTTACTCAAGAAAAAGTAAAAAGTATTTGAAACAAAGGTGACATAAAGAGTAGCTGATCAAAAAATTAGATTTACTTTTAAAATGTCATTAACACATAATATATAGTGTTTATTGTCTCTTATTGATCTGTAGTAGATAAAAAAAAACATCTGAATAACAAAGCTTGTGTACAAACAAGAAGTCTCACTTTAACATAAACTTTAGATTTATTTAATACATTTTTGCTCTTCATTGAAGTCAATAAGCAAATTTTTTCCAAAAAATGTTACTCCAGTAAATGTAACTAGTTACTCCCATCTCTGATTACAAGAATAGTCGTCATCCTTTTCTCTGAGGTCACACTGATGTCTAAATTTAATCTTCGCTGGATTATTTTGAGTTATTTGGTTGTTGCTCAGTTTTCCCTGAATCCACATTCAGTTTCCTGAAAGTCGAGGTCAACTTGAACGTCTCCGTCGTCCTCCAAGACGCTCTTCCTGCTGCATGTTTCCATCAGAGCCAAACAAGCATTCTTCTTGCTCAGCAGAATTCACAAACAACATTGTTGTGACTTGTTTCTTTAGATCAGACTGTCTTACTAATAAAAATTCTTCCTGTATCCTCTCTCCTCCGCTCTCTCTATTCCCGTCTCGTCTCTATTTCTCTGTCTCCTTGTTCGCCCCGCAGGCAGGCTTGTTCATGTTATGTAGGATGTTTATAATCAGACATTGGTGCCTCAGAGGCTTGTTGATCCTCTCAATGAAAGAATGCATTGTTGCTTTTAACACCCATTGTAGTTTAATGCCAGTAATCCTGAAAAAAACAAGAAAACATCCAGCCGTGGTGGAAGACATTGTTTTGATGATGCTGAATTGGGATTTAATCTTGTAAAAGGAACATTTTCTGTGAAGCTGCGTTAAATAAGCAAGTTAACTTTGCTCCAGAAAATCAGAGCTCTCTAATTAAATTACAACTTTTTCTGTTGTTTATTTTAAAATATGTTGGATGCTTAACCCCTCAGATGGTAGCTAAGCTAATTAGCTTCATGCATCTTATTTTATGAATGCAACCAGGCTGGTGTATGAATGCTACAAATGTTGATTGATATATATTCTAAGATTAATATTAGAAGTGATTTGATGCCAATGGAGTGATCAACATGAGCTACACATGGTTCATGGAAGTAAATGTGAATTAGGCCGACTGCATCGAGTTAAAATCATTAAATAATCTTAACCCTGTGCAAGATTCTGCAATAAAAAATTATATTTAGGCTTACTAATGTCTTCTACTTATATATCAAAATAGACAACATGTAACCAAAAGTCATAGGGATTTGTAATTTTGGGTTTGAGGCTTTTTAGTGACAGTAGGAAACTAGGGAATGGAATACCAGCAAGTAATATTGTAAAAACTAAATTCTGTGCATTTATTTTTATTGTGCAACTTTGAATCAAAAGATTAATTCAGATTATAGAATAATTATATAAATAATTATTTACACAAGTACATACCGTAATGCGATGTTTATTTTTTATGCTTACTTCAGATGAGATAAAAGCAGTGAAGTATATTTAAAACACTACAGTATAAACACCAATAAATGTACAAAAATGTGTTAAAATTGAATTTGCAAAACTGATTTCATATCACAAAAAAGAGGGTTATATCTCATTGGATTTTGCAGCAAATAAATTTGGCTGCATGTAAAATACAGAATTATATTTTTCCTCAATTTCAAAGTCTTGTTTGAGAATATCAATAAAAACAATCAAACTGAGATTGAAAAATCTGTTTCATTCCTTATGTGCCTAGTGGATCTAATTAGCATCATACCTAAATTTACACAAATTTTAGGCGCAATATTTAAATTTATACTCTTTAACACCTGATAGCAAAAACAAGTATTTTTTTTGTAGAATTGGATATAAATTCAGGTATTATGGGATTAAAATAAATCAGAGTTCAACACTTTTGCCTTAAATTATCCTTTAGCACAGATAAATGAACCAGGTCTGTCTCTTCTCCTTCTTAGCTACCCAACGGAGTGACGTATCACCCCAACACCCACCAGGACCGGCTGGGGAAACTTCAGGAGCATCTGCGGATGCTTTCCGTTCTCTTTCGCAAGCTGCGGCTGGTCTATGACAAATGCAACGAGAACTGCTCCGGGCTGGACCCCATCCCCCCAGAGGTCAGAGGTTCTGTCAATATCAACAGATTGACTTACTACATTTAATACAGTTTCATTTAAAATATGTAAATTTGACCCTCTATAATTCAGGTATAATTTATTCCCCTAAAACACAAGATTAGTTTAAATCTCACTTCATTTTTGTTTCTGCAAACGGCATTTCTTTACAGTTTGTATGGGGCAATTAACGATTAATCGGTTACTAAATTAGTTGATGATTATTTCAACGATCAATTAATCACATTTAATTGTTTCAGTTCTGGTCTACACGCAGGTTTGTTTGCTTTTGGTACATGTGAAATCAAACTCCCAGTCTTTCTCTTAGAGTCGCCGATTGCTCTTCACATATGCAGTGCGGCATGCAGCGCTGCAGCGCGGCTTTCCGCTGCTTTTTGATTGGATTTGCAGTCACATCCCGATCTCTAAAGATTGCCTCAGAGCTAATCCTCCTCTCCAGACTCCCACTGGGGAAAATGGAGGATGTGGGAGGAGACAGGTCTTAAATTGGAACAAATTTGTGTTTAATGCCAACCTTGTGTTGAATAATATCTGAACAGGGGTTTGTTTTTCCACCTCTAAATCAAAATCTGCGATGAGGGCGACATTTTCCTCTTGCTGTTGCCGCCTGACCTTCACCTTCTTCCTCCACCTTTATTTAAATGTGTATTCATTTCCCCTGGAGACCCGGAGCGGCGCTGACCAGCCAATAACTTAGCTCACCGTGTTTGTCTGGGGCTGAGAGTTGTTGATTTTGGCCCAGCGGCTGCGTCGTTTATCATCCTGGGGAAAATTCAGGTGCCAGCCTGACAGCAGCTCGCTATTGGCTGCCTGAAACAGGAAGTGGAATCAATGACTCGAGCGGTGTGACCTCATAGCAGCCTAATTAGCAGCAGACCTGTTTAATGAACAGCTGGACTGAGTGCACACATCAGGCTCCTTGCCTCTCCAGCTGGCGTTAGCTGCAGCTTTTCCCCCGACTTTCTCCATCTTTACGTGATTAGTTGACCTTTTTTCCTTTTTCTGTTCAATTTTAGCTCTTTTTCTCCTTTTTCTGCAGGCCAGTTATTTTTACAGTTTCTTGGACATGTTACACGTTTTGAACTTTTTCATCACATGGAAACTACAAACTTCAATGTTCTTAAATACAGAATTGGCAAAGGTTTCAACCAACAGATGTGCAAAGCAGTGCAATTTAAGGGGATAAAATTAAATAGGACTGACTCCATATGTATGCCATTCTTTATTTGACTGATTTAGAAAAAAAACCCATAATTTTTGAGTAATTATGTATGGCTTTAGACCACAAATTTGGTTCAGCATTCCAGGCAGTTTATTCAGATTCCCTGAGGCAAAACACTTAAAAAAAATAAATAAAAAACCTTCCACAAATTGAAGCAGAAATTGTTCTTCTTTTTGCTTCCATTGTAATTTTTGCAAATAAAACCTCCAAATGATTTACCATTTTTCCACAAACAAGAAGCAAACTTTCTTTTGTTAAAATAGAAATATAAAATCAAGTCAAATTTTATTTGTCTAGCACATTTCAGCAACAAGGCAGCAACATGTGTTTATGTCATAAAAACTTGTTTTTAAGACATAAAAAAACAACTGCATGTATTTCAACCTACAGTTGAAAACTTACAGTTTCAACTGTATGTTGTTTCATTAAGGTACAAATTTACAGAAGGATTTACTTTAAAAACAAAAAATGTTAACGTTAAAATATTTTAATAATCTTTGTGTCCTTTGACTACTTACAACTTGACCATTTTGGGTCCTATCCCCACATGTTTGGACACATGTCCAAACATGTGTCCAAACATAAATCATGAAGTTTTCTAGAAAACCAGAATTGATGGATTCAAACGAGATTGAATGTCACAATAAACAATAAATCAATCACATGATAAATTAAAGCAAACTCAATTATTTCTATTTGAATAATTTATTGTTTTCCTTTTTCTACCAAAAACTGGATGACAAAACTCTTCAGTCTGGTGTTTTGGTCTCAATTAAGCCATTTTCTTTTTTAAAGACAGTTTTGTTTCCAGAGACCATATAATTTATTGTACTTGGTTTATCTGTGGTTTTGTTTATTTATTTTGGATATTTAAAAAACCTTCCAGTTCCAGGATTAAATATGTGTGACAATTTAAAGTTTATTGATCTTTATTTTACTTAAAAATGGTCTCAAAGTGACAATATTATTGTTTATCGCAATAACTAATTTATCGTCCAATAACATGTGTTATTGTCATTTAAGTAAATACATGTGGACTCTATCAAATTAATGATGTGCATGATTTTACTTTTCCCTTCTGCTTCACAGTTATTCACTGTCACATAAAGTTTAAATAAAACACATTTAAGTCTGTGGCTATTGGATGGAAAAAGCTTAGGGAGCATAAATTTTTCTGCAAGGCACCAAATTCTCCTTTTCTTCTGTTTCACTCTTGCTGAAGTTCACCGCTGCTCTTGTCATTTCCTGCAGCGAACAGTCAAGCTGTTTCATTTCCCTCTCTCCTTATCCGCTCACCCCGTTATTTTCTTATTACTTGTTTTCTTTTTTCTCCTGTTTCCGCTTTTTTCTGCTTCTGCCCTTTTCCTCTTGTCTCACCGAGGCAACCTGGAGAACTTCATTAGCTCATTCCTCTCTGTCAGGCTGGAAACCACATCCATCTTTCTGCCGAGGAGGCCGGGGTTATGACTCACACAGGCACATACATTTACTCTGACTCACATGCACTGTGCACTCTGCATCCATCTTCCCCCAGCTGGACTCAGCACATTTTATTTCCTTCCTGCTCCTTTGCCAGAGTCGACCCTCTACCCTCAGGATTCGATATGCGGATCGGTTTTCCTCTTAAATGATCTGATAAAAAAACGTTACTGTTTTCCTTCTGGGATGCAGCTTATAGTTTGGTTTAATGTCCAACACAATGTCAGTTTTGTTCTTGTTCTAAGATCACAGCTTAGATTGGGAATTTTTCCAGAAAACTCTCAGGGGTGAAAGTTTTCCTTTATTGATCCTTTATTGGTGCTTTTTAAACCCAAATGGGTGAAATGTTCCACCTTTTTCTTCAGTTTAGATTTAAATATTTCACTTTGACCTTTTCAGGGTTCTTGGAAATCTTTTAATTTCAATTAGATGTTTTCAAAATTTTGTCCTGAAAAGCGCTTAATAATCAAACAGCGCAGTTTTGCAATAATTAGCAATTTATTGTTCGACTAAAAGCATAAATGTGGAAAACAGTATTTACAGTTGAAACAAGATAATTTAAACACACAGATACTTTTTCTTCTTTCTATCTGAAGTTAGATGAGACCAAATTTATCTTGTTTTAGGTTAGTTAGAAATACCAAAATTATTTCTGTTTGCTAAATGTGAGAAAACTTGACAAGAACCAGTCAGGTGTATAAGGTGTGTGAGAAACATAAAATTTTGTTTTATTTTAGTTTATTTTATTACTGCTGTAGAACACAGAATACTAATATAAGACATTAGTAATAAATTGTCTTTCTTTTACTTCATTTGTACTGCTTTTTGAAAAACCTACCTTGAAAAGTGCTTGAATTATGGAAACTTTTCTTTTTGCCGTCACTCCAGGTTTCTTGTTTAGCTTGTTTCACTCTTGCTCTGGTTATTAGTTTGATGGCTTCAGTCACCATGTGGTTCAAGCAGCTGCACAGCTTCAGGCTGAACTGAAATTAACCAAAGACTTTGGGCTATTTATAGAAAAGTTATCCAAAATAGTTTTGGAGGTTCTCCAACCTTATCTGTGTTTATCATCTTGTCTGCTATGAATGTCTGAGTTTTGGAGAGACTCCATTGTGTTTGCTCAACTTTGTTTTTGCCAACAGCAACTTTGTTCCTTCAGGAAGATTTTTGCTTTTTCTTGTACAGACTAAGCTTGTTTCATACCAATCCAGTCAGTAATTTAAATATATTTATACATGCACAAGTTTTATTTTACTGGAGTGTCTCTAAACAAAAACAACTTATAGTCCTTATACTCATACAATTACACCATAACCAGTTGTTGTTGCTTTCTACAACCTGCTGGTTGTGGTGGCGCTACACCATGAATCAGTGAAGGAAACAACACGAAAACCTCTGAAGAACAAACTAACGCAACTTCCTTTTTTGCAAAACGTAAACAAAAAATGGAGGACTGTCAGATTTTAGTGGTTGGTAGGATTTCTCTTGTCTTTGGTAAAATACCGAGGGTCATTTCTTCCGCTAGCCGTGCGTTTGTTTTATTTGTATTTACCCAGAATACCCTGTGCTATAATCCACGTTTGACTTTTGGAGCTGCACCACAGTTCACTTCAGCTGAACTAAGACTGATGTTTTTAGGCGGACCAAAGTTTGCTTTCTTTGTCCGTATCAGTTTGATTCACAAGAAAACTGAACTGTCTCAACAAACAAACCAGAATTTGGTTAAACTGGACTAAACATGCCTGCTGTGAATTCATCTTAAAGGCCTGTAAGAAGAAATAAGGGGAAGGTTTAGTAAAGAAGCAACACCAACGTTCCCCTCTGAATATTGCTTAGAAATTCTCCCCCAAAAATGATCTTTGGTTTGATTAAAATGGTCTAAAGGTTACATTTAAACTCAGATAAATTTTGAATCATTGTCTTTGATGGAAAAAGGTCGTAAATTATTCACTTGAAGTAAACGTTTGGTTCTAAACCATTTAGTATCAGAGGCACCAAATGAAAACAAATACAATCCTCTGGATTATTAACATATTTTTACAAAGTTCTCCTTGATTTGGATCCAGACTGAATACAAGTTCTGGTTCCTATTCTTAGAACTGTAGAGAACAAAGACTGAGCTGATTTGGCACAATTACTGCAATAATACTTGAAGCATCAAATCGTACCAATCGTCAAACATGGTGGCACAAAGTGGATGGAATAATGAAAAACGACTGCCTCCAAAGTTTTTACGTTCAGCCAGATGTTTAACTTTGACAACTCTGGATGTTCCAACAGAAATAAACCAAAGCTCACATTGGAAGTGGTTTTAGAGAAGCTAACGCCAGCTAGTGTGAAACATCTGGAGTGTTGACAGCCTCAGCTCAGCCTTAATACTGGAGTTTGGCCTTAAATTCACTAGTTTGGATGTTAGACTTTCAACTAGATGATGCCAGAAGCAAAATGTGTTTTTCTGCAAATTGCTAAGGATTGTTTTGTCAAATATTAAATTTTAGCCTGTGTAATTACAGAAAATCCACATAAATCCAGACATGTACAGCCTGTTTTTATAATTCATTGACGTCATCTGTATAATCTACCCAAGAAAAGAAGCGAAAGAAAACACCAAATGATGATATTCATGTACATAATGAGTGTAGGTAAAATCCCTCCTGGAGCCATCTAGGGTGTGCATAAACCAGTATGATTTCCCCTTACAAGAAGATATAATTAGGCATTTAGTTGCCTAGTTTTAGTTTGCACAATCTAGCTTTTAAAAAAGTGCAGCAAACTTGCTTCTCTGCTTCTCTGCTTACCACCAGGGGGCAGTATGACGTCAGAAAGCAGGCGGCTCCTCAGAATGCTGCCATCGCCTGAAATCTCTTGCACATCATCCTCTTGGTGGTGTCAAGCAGACAAGGTCAAGCACACAGAGCGTTTAAAAATGAATTAATCTCTCACTCGCTGTCTCCTTCTCTCACAGAGAGGCGAATCAGACCGCCGGAGCTGGAGAGCTCACACTCAATCCCCCTTTTTTCTGTTGCTTCATGGAGACCAGAGTAGAAGACAGCTGATAGGTCATGCAGTGTATCTGAGAGTGAGATGAGAGCACATGTTAATCTAAACTTTACATGAGAATGAAATGCTCAGTCTGTTTTATTATTCGAGAAAGAATAATAAGAAAATGCTGAATTCTTGGATTAAATCCAGATATTCTAAAACCAGATTTTATTGCAATAAATATGAAACCGTAAAGGTGACATGTAATGCATAAATCTATGGTTTATAAAAAACATTTTGCACAGAATAATTCTTAAATAATGAGATGTAGTCTGTTTTTTGAGTTTCTTACAGACTGAGCCATTTTAGGGCCTCTTGTCACTTTAAATCCGAATAACCTGCTGCTGGCCACGCCCCCTAACTCAAAGTTTACACTTACATGTGAAAATGGCTGCAGACGGGTAACTATATGACTTAATATCTTGGAAAAGCAGAAGTAGAGGCTCCTACACAATCATCAAGATTACAGTAAGTGGTTGCTGGATGATAAGTCAACAACAAAACACTCGTCTTTTCCAGCAGCCATTGTAATGCACATAAAGTGGTAAAACCAGCTGACCAAACTTGCTCGAGGTACGCTTTGGTTGCCAGGTGATAGGCGGAACTCCGCTGGGGTTGCTAGGTAACGGGCAGTGACGCTGCATTCTGATGGTTTTTGAAAAGGTTCATTTTCCAGACACCAAAAATTGTAAATTTATTGCCAAAAATACCAGCAGGATGTGCTTTTTTTGTTTGTTTGTTTTTTAAGTGCTTGGGTTGTTTTTAGAAGCAGTTAATGGAAGTACCAAAAATTTGGCATCATATTTACCGTGTAATGGTGCAGCTTTATCTTCATCAGTGCAGTTGCTTTGCTTCCAATAAAGTAATAAAGTAAAGCCACACTTTTGTTTGCTCTCTCCTTACCAGCAACTGATACCCTTTGTGGAGGACGACGGCTCCAAACATGAGGACCGATCTGGCGGGCAGAGCCACCTCACCAGCGAGGAGAGGAGAGAAATCCTGGAAGTCAACAAGGTATTATGTTCTCTATCGTGGTAGCACAGCCGTGTTTGTGTTACGGGTTGGGTTTCCAGTCAGTGCTAACACAAGATAATGTGTGAACAGTAATTACAGGGGGAAAAAAATTAAGTAAAGTTTCCACATTATCTTCTAGATTACAAATGGAAATTAAGCATGAAATTTCTTCCAGGCAGGTAGTGTGAAACATTAGCATTGATTTGATGTCTTAAAGGCCGACTTGCTGTTGTTTGGATAACGTGCAGCAGAATTAAGGGGCTACGCTTGGTTAACTTTATTATCTGCTGATAGAGTTTGTGTATTTAAATGAGGTTTGGAGGCTACAGGGAAATGCTATTAAATGCTAATAGGGAATTTATTTCTTTTGAGAATTTCAGCGACTCTCAGCTGTCTGTGCATTTCGTTGCTGTGCAGGTGGTCGCACCTGGGCTTGTGGTTTGCATTCATAATCCAGAACAACATTAAACCTGATTAGGTTTTTTTCCTCCTGCTGCAAGAGACGGAGCCCGGCTTCTCTGTGGCGGTTAAAACTTAAAGCAAATCCTCTGTTGGGGTTTTCTAATTGTCCTTTTCACACAAACTGCTTTCGTCCCTCACTCCTAGACACTGCAGAGAAGGAAACTGTTTATTTATGTGTTTACTGAAGGATTTAAGGAGACTATTCTCCCAGGAGTCCACACCAAGCATTCCAAATTAAATCACCTCTTATCGACATTATAAAACGACATAATGGCATTTCATAAAACTCAACTGAAGTTAAATAAATTACAAATCAGCCGTTACAAAAAACACAACAAAATACATTGCTCACAAACTATTCCAGCAATATACAAACTAAATTAAAAATAAAAAAAGATAAAACAAATAAATATAAATTCAGCCATTGCATTAATTAAATATTAATTCAATCTCTTTTACAGATGTTAACAGCCATTAATGTGATTTCAAATGGCAACATATTCCAAAAAGAAATTGCTCTGAAATGGTGACAAGTGATGCCAGCTCACATATTAGCTGTTTGCACATGTCTAGACTTTGAGTAGGCCATTTTTTTTGGAAGGAAATTGTGTAGTGTGAGTTAGAACTGCATTTATTTTTCCTTCCAAGGTCAAGGGAGTATTTTTGAATTTAATTAATTGTCTTAGGAAGCTTTTGTTCAAATTGTTTTGCATTGTAAAAACATTATAAAGTTGGCAATTGTGAAACAAGCTACAGACGTTACATGTTGTCAAAAGCCTCTCTCAAAATCACCAATACACATCAAATAAGTTGATCCATCTCTCATTTACTACTAATTAAAGCAACTACCGGTGGGTTTTTAGTTGTGATTTTAATGAGTTCAATGTTTCAGCTGTTTTGCAGTTTTCTGGGCATTTAGTTCAGATTAGTGGAGCATAAAAATTAACTGCTGCTTCTCCATGTTTTCTGAAACTAGAAGACTTGCCAGGTCTGGAACAGCAGATCTTTAATGTGTTGTGGTGCTAAGCCATTCAGTGATCTATAAACTAACAACAGTATTTTATAGTCGTCCTAGATTTTTCTTTTTGTTGCAGTTTCACTAAAGATAAATGCATGGAGAAGTTTCTCTAGATCTGGCCAAGACATTAATCCTCTAATCCTGGAGATGTTCTTCAGGTGATAGAAGGCCGACTTTGTAACTGTCTTTAAGTGGTTCTGAAGGTTCAGATCCAAGTCCATCACTACTCCCAGGTTTTTAGTCTGATCGCTATTTTTTAGTTGTAATAACTGAAGCTGTGCATTGACTTTAGATTGTTCCTCTTTAAGTCCAAAAATAAATAACTTCAGTTTTGTTTCTGCTGGAGAAAATTTTGGCACATCCACACATTTATTTGTTCTAATCTGTTCGCTTCTCATCTGTTTGATGCTTGGATGGGTTCAGAGTCACCTGGTAATGTAGAGCTGTGTATCATCTGCATAGTTATGGTAGCTAATATTCTTGTCATAACCTAATTTCTAAAGGAACCGGCAAAATTTACGTTATTACTAGCTGAAATATTTGTAACATGGGGAATAAATTATTTTTCACAGGAACGTATACTTCCAAATCTTTCACTCGTTTTTACCCTGATGTCTTTTCAGAGCCTAGGAAGGAAATCATAGCCAGCTGCGTTTTAAATATTAATAAGACAGCAGCAGAAACTGGATTTTTCTCCTCCATTTCTTCCGACTATGGTGTTCATTTTTGAGCAGTTTTCATGTGTCAGACATCAAACAGACGTAAAAGCTTTTTCAGCTTTATTTACTGTCAGAAATGCTTTTTCTCGACTCTAATAGAGAAGCGGCGTTGTAAGACTGTGAAGCGCTGTGCTGGGAGCTTTTCTTCAAACTGACATCGTGTGTCAGTCAGCGCTGAAATGTCCTGGGAGTCGAACGATGCAGACAAACAAGGTGAATCTTGGCGCAGAAAAAGATGTTATAATGACTGACATGGGCTCTTGCAAGTTAATGAAAGAGTCAAAAGAAGAGAGGTCTTGTAGACAGAGAAAATATTATTCAGTTCTTTTGAGTTTAACTGAATTCATGGACTTATTGATTAGTGCGGTAACCTTTGAGCCGCCCCTAAATATTAGTCTAGTTCACTTTTAATTAATGACTGAGGTATTGTGGGAATGGATTTTATTAACATTGGCTGTCTTCAACTTCTATAATTGACTTTTTCTGCATTAATTTACATTAATTTATTATGGAAAGACAATTTAGATTCATCCTAGTGGTCTTCTGTGGGCTTTAATTTTAGTGGAAATAAATTGAGACATGTTCCTTCTTGTGGGATTCTCTAAGGTTTCCAGAACGTCTTCTTGAAAATTGTCTGCCTCTTTACTTTTTTATGCGGTATTATGTGAATTTTTAAAGGAATAAGCCACTTCACATCAATCTGTGACTGATTCTGGCATAAAAAGGCTTTTAAACTCAAGGTAGTCTTGAAATAACAGACAACTTGGCAAAGAACCAATTTTAAATTGGATATTTAGTCTCTTAGTTACTAGCAGCCTGTGACAACGACCCAATTGTTCTCATTTCTTTAGTTGAATCAATTAAAAATAACAGCATGGTTTGACAGAGGAAAAACGGTATTATGGTTCTCGGCTAAAGACCTGGCGTTTCTAAGCCATGTCTTATAAACTTTGTTTTCTGTATGTAGATTTTTAGGACACATACTGCTTCTTTGTCCTATAGCAGTTTTTCTCTTCTTTTTGGACCGCACTGCAAACTTTTGTCGTTATTTTAAAAAGATTGAAAACTCTTGGCCTCTTAAAATGAATCAGTGAAGAAATTCTTTCTGGGAGTAAAATAAAAAGAGATTTGTGAAATACATAAAAAGCATTTTTACACTAAGACTAAAGGAGATTTGAAACCTGTCTTCTATTTGAGTTCATAAAAATTCAGGATCTTTATGTCAGAAGTTTGATTAGGTGCAGAGTTATGATGTAAAATTTGTATAAACTGTGACCTGTCCATTCAGACTGCACATGGGTTAAATAATCTGATTTGCATCAGATTTTACTACCACATGTTGAAGCTGCACAGGTGGGATATTTTTGGAGGGTGAAAAGATCGGAATAGGTAATTCCCACAAGTCTGAACCGGAAATGATCCATGTGATCTTAGTAGGCAAGCGCAACACGTAGCGGACCCATGGCTTTGAGACCAACAACAAGAAAATATGTGGACACTCTTGACCAATGTGTGAGGAGAAAGATGCATGAACAAAATGGCTGCTGTCAGGATCGACCTGAGAAAGAAAACATGTCGAGCAATGTGGATAAGCTGCCTCTGATCTCAAACTACGATATAGTTAACCCTCTCAGGCTCAAATTACTTGCAAAGACCAGCTAAGTAGCATTTAGCTGTTGCAAATCTGCAACATCTAAATGCAACACTGGAGAGGGTTAATAACACCCTCTCATGAACACAGCGGTGGTTGATTAGCTAATTTAAACTCCTGCTCTGCTAGTCAGTCCGTCTTTGAGTCGCCTTTTTATTTTGTTAATGGATCTGAAACGCACTGAATTTTGCAACACCTTATAGAAACAATAATTACTGATTATTAATTTCAACACGTTTTATTGATTTTTTAAAATGATTATTCTTCAATGAAGCTACAAACATTTTGTATCTTAGTGAATATTTTGATAAGCCTGTCAGAAGAGAAAGTGCTGATCTCAGCGTCCTGGAGGCCTTCAGTTTGTCACCTGCTGCCGAGATCGACTCAAAACCTTCGACGTTTTGAGCTCCCCTGGTTTACTGCTGTGAATGTAGAGTTGGGAACCGAAGCCCCTAAGCTTTTTCTTGAATACTGTTTTTCTGTATTTGTTTTTCTTGAGGCATATCAAATGTTTCACTCTGTCGTTATACAGTGTCCGCAAATAAAGTAAAAAAAAAAAGAAATCCCCCTCCGCTCACCCCACTCGCACGCAACAGTGGGAGTTGCGTGCGACTCAGGATGAGTGAAACAGTGATGTCACTCATCGTGTCTGTGACATGATTGGTGACTGTCTATAAATTCCCAGATTGCACAGAGAGATTCATCTGCAGTTTTAGTAGGTTTGACAACCAGCCAGTTGAGGTGGCCTCTGTGGTGAGGTGTTCCGGGCACATCCCACCAGGAGGAGGCCCTTAGGAAGACCCAGGACCCGCTGGGGGGACTGGGAACGCCTTGGGGTTCCCCTGGAGGAGCTGGAAGAAGTGGCTGGGAAGAGGGAAGTCTGGGCCTCCCTTCCGAAGCTGCCTGAACCCGGATAAGCGGGAGACGACGAAGGAATTTGGAATCTCCTTTTTCTGTTTGCCTTTGGTTTTATATCTTCTACAGTGTAGCCATGTAGGAGCTTCACAGCCTGAAATCGATGAACGCTTCTAATCAATGTTTACATGGCTTTGTAAAGTATGTACAAACTCTTCATAAGACTGGCAGAGTACGTACAAGTAGTAACTCGTAGCTTTTATGCTGTAAAATGCCTAATCCCTTTATATTTTAC